TGAAAAGTTGAAGCTCAAAACTTAATATTTTGTGAACGTGAGATATTTGACCGAAATCGTGTAATAACTTGACTGTCCGATGTCCAGCTGATTTATGTGGTAAAGGTCATTGTGTGACATTTAACGGATGAACGGCAGTAGGCCGTGACATTATGCCACAACGGCTTGCTGGAAGGCACAGATGCGACAACTGAACCTGTCACAAAGAACAAACACCACGAATTTACTTAGAAATTGTACACCTTCAGGAAAACTGTGATTTATGGCCTGGAGCGGCGTTGCGAAGTAGATTATTCCTCTGAACTGACTACAACCATGTGATGAGCGCATAATGTGTTGTAATAAGCAGCTCATTAACATTAACAAGAAAAGGTAATAGATACAACATAGCATGCAGATAACTGGAGCAATCCGGGAATAAGCGGATAGTATTCAGATAATGAGGCGTGCGTGCGTGTGCGTGCGTGCGTGCGTACGTGTGTGTCATACACACATGCTCCCCCCTTGCTCTCTCTCCCTCCCTCAAATCCCCCATGTATTTAAATACATACTAATGGAAACGAATAAGGGAACACATGAAAGTGCAAGTGTTCCTATGTTTTTTTCCAGATTTCTTCACAAGGTATGTATTGCACTGCGAGTACTTTCATGTGTTCCCTTATTCGTTTCTATGAGTAAATTATTCAATTCAATTACAACAAAAACTGTACCATAACTGACTCCTACACGAGCCTTCGACATTAATATTGTTTAAAATGAAAGATTGGAGATATGTAGTTTATGAACATAACGCTATAGGCACTCTGAAAGTAAAATGTGTCACTTCTATTTAGCACTTTGCCCAGAATGCTTTGAAGAGAATGTCCAACTTCAAAGCATCCTGGGCAAAGCGCTACACAGATATGACACACTTGAAAGTCAAAGATAAAAGCCAAGTTGTGAAGGGGTTTTACAATGATTTTACAGGCGGATCAATTAATTTCTGCATGTGATGTTCGGTGCTTAATTTGAGTCATTCGTCACCACTCGCCCCTTTCCGTAACCGCTATTCGGCTTGTCCCGGAATAACACGAGTTGGTAACGAATGAATTTGAATGTGTTCGCCTCCCATGTAGTTCCCCAGAAAATGTAGTTCAATCAATTAAACTTTTGCTGTTGTTTTTAAAAACAACTACACGTATCTACACTTTAAGATGTGTGTCTTTCTAATGCATAAGATCATACTTAGAAATGGTGGAATAAACTTTTCTTAAAACCATATAGCGTAACTTTAACGAACAATGTTCACGAGGAAGTATTTTGGTCAGAGTAAGACTTATGTACTGGTGATTACAAACCGATTATGGATGACCTGGTGGTCAATGGGTTAAAGGTGACGTGGATGTGTAGAATTACGACCTCAGCTTGCTAGGGCCCGCTGATTGTACAAAGCGATCTTAGCGTTAAGGTGACCGTAACTCCCATACCTTTATATAGACTTAGGTAGTCTTAGCGCTAAGGATGTTTTGTACAACATCACCCAGGACCCGCTGGTAGTGGATTTAAATATAACATTTGCCTGATTATGAATTTCCGTTTGTCCTAATGAAACACATTCTGGATTACCATACTCAAGGCATAGAATATATTACTAGTTGACTTGTTGACAAATGAAGTAATTATATATGAACACGGTTATTTTCTGTTTTTGTATCTCTGACGATGATGTGAGCCAGAATTCACGTAATGATTAATCAGCCTTGCCCAAAATATTGTTAGTGGTCTTCAATCGTTACATCTACGTAGTCCTTCAAGAGTTTGGTCCCTTGAACAGAACCCGGACGTCTTGAAACGGCACCTATCGAGAGGTTTGGATGAATAGCTTTAGATATTTCGATTGGCGATTAGTTTCATAAACACTGTAACCAATTTGTCATCACATGTAGTGCAGTGTTTATTTAGGCACTGGCTGTGTCATTAAGACAAATATTATGACCATGTGTCACTAAGGGTTCCACGGGTACTCAAGTACTCGAGGACGAGTCGGGTTTAGCTGGACTCGAGTCCATTTTCGAGGACTCGAGGACTCGAAAAGGGGAGATAACTCGAATTATTGGATTACAATGGCAGACTGTCTGTCTGCCATGTGATAAGCATGAGCGGCCGTTAACGTCTAATATTAAGATAAGATATAACTTTATTACCCCCTGGAGGAAATTCTTATACATCCAAACTGTCTCAAAATGAATATGTACACAATTAACAAAAATATACACAATAATTACATGCACAAACGAAAGCTATTTACACAATAAAACTGACATGATATAATTCAATTAACCACATAGGTAAAAGGCTGAATAATTCTAGTTGTTATCACATGGTGATAATTCAAAATAATTGTTGCATTCACGAATACTTGATGGTATGAAAGACTGTCGAGCTCTGTTTGTTTTGAGGGAAGGTAATCGCAGCAGCCCAGAAAGAAGTACTTCAAAATGGTGAGATAAAATATGTTAACTATCAAATCTAATTTTGTTGCCTTTTGACAATCTGGCTCATAGATAAAGGAATATACTCGAAATTTTGTTGGCAGTATTAATAATTTTGAAAAGTTTGTTTTGTTACATCAGACAGGCCCCATACCAACACAGAAAATTGTGAGGTCAACACACTTTGAATAAAGGTTTGATAAAAACTGTCATTACGGTTTTGTCAATGACTTGACGATAATAAGGTTCAGAATCAGAAATTAGGCCAGTAACAGTGGCATCATCTGCTTAATTTCATTTAATGAAGTCATTTAATGACAAGTAACAGTCATTGGTATACAAAACGGCGAGTACGGATGAAAGAACACAGTCCTGTGGAGCTCCAGTAGAGGTTGAGATTAAAGAAGATTGATAGCCATTGACACTGACATACTGAGTTCTATGTACCCCTGAATTCCTTTAACCCATCTAATAATGATTTTATTAAGGCCTAGATTAAGTAGTTTACTCCTCATAAGGAGTGGCTGTATGGTATTAGTTGTTACAAGTCTGCAGATGAGAGTAATTATTATACATCGCTTGAGATTTCACTTCTTAAAATGATTAGGTAACTATCTTAACAGACATGGAGAACGATAAAAATCAAATGTATGGGCTTGTCTTGATCTGATAGTGAAAAGAGAAAAATAACCAAATGCCGCCATGCGTATATATTACTGCTATTCAGGCAGTACAACCAGTACGATGAAAAAAAACCAACATTTGGCAAGTAAACATCCAAATACGGATTCTGACCAAAAGGAAATGTTAGTCACACAACGATATGAAGTCGGAACGAAGTAAGTGTTCACTTGTGTGATCGGAACACATGTCATGCCGGTTACGCTATCGTTTGTTTGAAAGGTATGAATTTCGAGTACTCGGGTCCGAGTCGAGTCTCACCCCTCGAGTCCAAGAAAATGGACTCGATGAAGCCCTATGTGTCACCTGTCGACTGACGTTCTGTCTCGTAATGCCTCTTAATGATGCCGGTGTATAGTTTATACTTATATATTTTTTGAGTATTACTAAGGGGATCCATTCTCTTCCCACAGAGGTTACTTGTCATATCTTCGTAGGGAAGAGAATGGAGGGGATCATGACCCTCTTAAATAGATGTGATCACAATAACTGTGGACTTGCATATTCATCCAAATGTTACCCCAGGAAAGGGTAAAAAAATAATTCTGTTATGACATTACACATAATAAAGTTGAACCACATTTCTGAATAATGCAGCCAGTGTAAAATGTTCAGATTTTATGTCTGACTGACTAAGTTTGGTTTTACGCCACTTTTAGCAATATTCCAGCAACATCACGGTGGAGAACACCAGAAATGGGCTTCACACATTGTACCCATGTGGGGATTCAAACCCGGTCTTCGCGATGGACAGCCAGTGCTTTAACCACTAGGCTACCCCTAAGATTTTATGAGACCAGTATTGATGATAAAACTGTTGCTGTTAAATATAATTATAAATTTTTTTCTTTATTCCAGAAAGACACTCAGAAATCACAATGACAGTTATGTCATTGTGATAAATATGGAGGACCACCCAAAATGCACTGTTACAGGTAGTCCAGCATATAACCAGACGACTTTGCACTATACCAAGGTGTGCTCGATGTAGGCCTTGGCTGGAATACGAGTTTATTCATATGAACTATGTTACAGGATGTCATGGTGTAGGCATACCAGGGTATAATGAAAGATGTCAAACATGTCATCAACAATTGTCAGAAGTCACTGTCAATAAAGTTTTCACAAAGCTTGAAGGTTTGAACGTGAGACCTGACCCTGTGTGCTTGACTTTGGGCTGTGGTAACCCAAGTACCAGTGTGAGTGGGCTTTGTCTTCAGTGCTACTTAAGTCAGGTTGATAGTGAAGGAAAGGTGGCCACTTTCAAGTGCAGTGTTGCAACTGGTTGCAAGGAGTCTGGTTACAGAAAGTTGCAAGGTTTCTGCAGGAGATGTTTTAGTGCTAGTCAGATTATGGATCGGTCAGTAATTAGGAGGTCTTCAGTTGAGAAGGGTCAACAATTATGTACAACACCAAACTGTGAATTTTATGGCCTAAAAGAACAGAATGGACAATGCAGCTGTTGTTTCAAGGACTTCCTGGATAGGGAATCAAAGAGACTTTCAGATTGTTCTGATAAATCTACCAGGAAATCATTAACAAAGAGTCCTTTAGATTGTTCTGAAACTACCAGGAAATCATTAACAAATTGTCCTGAGATTGGAAATCATTAAAACTAGTCCGTTAGATTGTTCTGGAAACTACCAGGAAATCATTAACAAATAGTCCTGTAGATTGTTCTGAAACTACCAGGAAATCATTAACAAAGAAACTAGATTGTTCTGAAACTACCAGGAAATCATTAACAAAGAGTCCTGTAGATTGTTCTGAAACTACCAGGAAATCATTAACAAAGAGTCCTGTAGATTGTTCTGAAACTACAAAGAGTCAGGAAATCAGGAAATTAACAAAGAGTCCTGTAGATTGTTCTGAAACTACCAGGAAATCATTAACAAAGAGTCCTGTAGATTGTTCTGAAACTACCAGGAAATCATTAACAAAGAGTCCTGTAGATTGTTCTGAAACTACCAGGAAATCATTAACAAAGAGTCCTGTAGATTGTTCTGAAACTACCAGGAAATCATTAACAAAGAGTCCTGTAGATTGTTCTGAAACTGCTGGGAATTCATCAGCAATGAACCCTGGGATTAAGGACAGCAACTGCAGCAAGAGCAGACTCACCACTGTTCCTCTAGACGTCTATGAACCTATCAACTCAGATGAATTATTTGGCAGTGGAGCTGATGACGGGAAACAGACAGCATTTACAGTCAGCAAACATGATTGTAAGCAGCTGTGTGGTCGGAAATGTGTAGCTGAGTGTGATCCGTATTGCATGACCTGTTGGGAAGCCTTGAAGCTACAGCTAGTGGAGCAGCAAGCAAGACTGACACATCATCCTCAAAGTGACCTTCAACCTGCATGTATTCCATCTTCCCCTATGGCAGGGTGTGAGAAGCCTGTGTCCAACTTGACCCTCCCTCTGTTACCTTGCTCCACAGAACAAGGTGACGGAACTAAAGCCAGTCCAATGTCACATGATGAAAGTCAGCATGGGAAGAATCCTGAGTCACCACCTTCTGAAACAAGGTCAAGGAAAGGTATTATTACAAGGAATGAGCTGCTTCCAGAGAATTCAACTCAAAAGGGTTCTGACTTTCCTGAATATGTGGGATAGGCTTGTGGTTAAAGCCGCTGGCTCATCACTCGAAGACCAGGTTCGATTCCCGACATGGGTACAATGTGTGAGGCCCAATTTCTGGTGTCCCCCGCCATGATGTTGGTGGAATATTGCTAAAAGTGCATGTAAAACTAAACTCACTCACTCCTGAATATGTTAGTTTTGAATTCAGCTAGTTGCAGATCACTTTCACTCTAGTGATATCGATGAGTCAAGTCTGTTCAAGAGTTGAGTCATTGTGTATTCATAGGTTTATGCCATGGGAGCCACACCAGTTTACACTTGTTAGAGTGCTGACATTGTTCCTGATCTAATCTTCCAGTAAACTGTCAGATTTCCATCTTGTGGAAGCTATGGTGTCTGAGTGGGTTAGATCATTGACTTTGTGTGGGGGTGATTTGATGCTGTTTAAACCCTGGATGGGACTCAACCTCCCCAAAGTACTAGAATCTGTCTTTACTGAGAGTATGTAATCCCCAAAATATTACATATTTACAATTAAGTCATCACAACTATAAACATATATTGATGCATTTGTTGTCATGGAATCCATTTTATGTGTAAAAACAAGTTAAGTTTGATAGGCAATGAAATAGGTCACTATTGAGGAGGACAAGAAAACTTGACCATCTTCTCTGCCTTCTACTTGTTCATCCCAATTCAAGGTTGTCAAGGTTCATGAGACCCATGAACAGAATTTAGTCTTCAGCAACCCATGCTTGTCATCTTATCCCATTTGCACAAATTGATGCTCATGTGGTTGATCACTGGATTGTCTACACGAGACCGATTATATTATAATAATTATTATGATAATGACACCCATGATAAACCCCTCATTTTTGAGGTTTGATGAATATAATGATAACAGCCTTTTAGTCTGTATTTCCAATTTGATAGGTACCTGAGGTGTTCAAACACAGATGTGATATTCAGTTCAAGTGCATACCTCGTGGCACTTTGTACAGAATCTAGAATTAAACCTGCTTGCCTGCAGAGCGATTGGTACTTTCTCTGGTGTCATTGGTTTAAGGGTGATCCAGCTGATCGTAAAAGGCCAGAAAAGAAGAAAATACGTCTGAAGTTTGTACCCCAGGATAAAGCTGACTTCAACGAGGTCTGCTCCTCTGGTGTCATCATCTGCTTGTGGAATAAGCACAACATTGATAATGGTAAATGCTTTAAGTTTTCATATATTTCCAGTTTCCAGTTATGGTGTGTGACATATATTGCAGATATAACAGGGTGGGTCCTCCTGTAGTTGACATTATTACCATGTCAGATTGAGTTGTGGTCATGTGCCTCATAATTGATGAAACATTCAATAACAACACCACTGTCTCTATCCCCTTTCAGCTGTAAAACTCTATACTTATCCCCCTTTCAGCTCCAATCTCATTCAGTTTCTCGCATCACTGCGGTGTAGTGGTTAGAGCGCATCCGCCTGAGAGTGGAAGGTCGCAGGTTCGATCCCCCGCCTCGCTGGCCATACTTAGAGACGCTAAAATATGGTACTTGTTGGTCTCTGCCTGGCGCTTGGTATTAATGGGTACAACAAGGACTGGTCGGCTCGGAGTCAGTATAATGTGTTTGAGTGGGGTATTCATGCTACACTGAGGCATGGTATCTCAGTGGGCTAGCACTATAAAACCAGCTTAAGTCTGGGCTAGTACAAGCTGCCGCACATACACACGCATGCACGTCGTCATATGAGCGAAATATTCTCAAGCACGACGTAAAACCCAATTTCACCTCACCTCACCTCATTCAGTTTCTTTCAGGAACACATCCTCTGTTTGAGAAGATTGGAGAGGTTGTTAAAACCAGTCGTCTTAAGGAATTCAGTAAGTACCCAAAGTGTAAAACATCCATTAGTTGAATCCCTAAAGGTAAGACAGTGGTTGAAAAACCTTCTTTCATGTGAAGTGAAGTGATAACTTTTATGCAGTGTTAATATGATTTGTGTTTTATGAGTTTTGAAAAGGATATCAACATTTTACTGAGTTTGTTGAACTGCTCCCTAATGAAAGCATTGCTTTAGGTGAGTGAACTACATCCCCATTTTCTTCATAACTGTTTCTCTTAACTGGGAATTCTATCAGATGACCATCTTAGTGTGAGACTCAAAGAGACCAAAGAGGAAGTTAATTTAGTTCCAGTTTTCATTCAAACTGGACTCATGAAGATTGGGTCTTCAGCAACCCAAGCTTGTCATCAGAGGTGACTAATGGTGATTGGATGGTCAGACTCACTGACTTGGTTGACACATGTCATCATATCCCAACTGCGTTGATTGATGCTCAATCATGTGATTGTCTGGTCCAAACTTGATTATTTACAGACTGCTGTCATATAGCTGGAAAATTGCTGAGTGCAGTATTAAACAAACAAACAAACAAACATCAAACAAACTGAAGCTTTTGATGTAGATAAACCTTGAAGAGACTGCTCTCCCTTCTAACTCCACTTCCTCAAAGGCACTAAAACAGGCTTGGCACAAAAAGCTGAATACGTTCAGTCTGTTTAGAGTAGTCTCCCTTTGTACACTTGACATCATGTCATTGCACGATTCAAAAGCTTCCTTTTTCTGGACTGGAGGTTTATTAATTTCCAATTGTTGTTCAACCTAACAGAAGTTTTTTGATGTAGACAAACCTTCAACAGGTCTTCCTTTCTTCTTTGATGGGCATTCCTTCATAATCTTCCTTGTATCTCAGCACCCCAAAAGGCACCAAAACAGGCTTGACACTAACGCTGAAAACATGTCAGGCTGTTGTCCCCTTTATACACCTTGCATTTAGTTTGGTCACCAATTATGTTAGAGCTATAGCTTTATAGCATGACTCAGTTTAGTCCTGTTACTAGTTTACTGTATTTGAGGAATTCAGGGATGAGAATTTTCCATGGATTGTGCTGGGATCATTCTTGTGAATCGCCTAAACCTTTGGCCTCCAAGACCCCCACCTCATTTTCCTCTTTTTTCACTCATACCTTCTCTCATCCCTGGGAATTAAGTATTCTACTCTTACACTGGCCATGGGCACAATTTGTAAGCCCATTTCTGGTGTCCCACATGTTGCTGGAATATTGCTAAAAAGTGGCGTGAAACCAAACTCAGTCTTATACTGGCATTGCTGTGGATAAACAATGTTTGGCTATCCTTGCCTTGCTGTGTCAAATGTCCAGATATCTTGGGAGTTACAATATGGTCCCGCTGGGTTGATGATATGGAGGATGACTGCATTATGAAAATATGTTAGTTATACCAAAATTCATAAATCAAACTTAATTCAACATTGGGTATTGTGTGATGCCCATTTCTGGTGTCCCCCACCTGTGATATTGCTGGAATATTGCTAATAGCGGCGTAAAACCAACTCACTCAACATTGTGTGTGGTTTTATTAAGCATACTTATGCAGTGTGAGAAATTTACGCTGGTCCTGTGGTCCCTGGCTAGTAAAAATTAATCAGGACCACAAAATGATAAGTTTGCAGTGGTCCTAGTGGCCAGTGAAGTTTGTATTGATAGTTATGTAAATCTACGAATGTTATTTTGGACCAGTGAAATACAGACAGGACCTCTAATTGTCCACTCACTGGTCCTGTGGTCTAGTGAGAAAATTTGAAAGGTTTCTTTCCCTGCTTATGCGAAATAAGCGGCCATGGCTCAGTGAATATGGTACATATAAACACCTTGTCTTTAACAGGAACATGTCTACAACATGACCAGGTGGTTGCCACTGATGGAGGGAAATCAACAGCTGCCCTTGTCGTCCACTGTAAATACCACCCTGTGACCAGGAGACAGGTGGCCAGTGCCCTGGTCAGATGCCTCGAGTTTGTTGAAGCGAGCAAGAAGATAAAGACCATATTTCCAGTCAAGTTCTCTGGTAGGAAATTGTTGCTTTTTAGTAATCCATTCTTATTGTCCCTAGGGTAGATAAGTTCTTCACCCGGGGTCTGTGACCAAAGTTTGCAAATATTCCCAAAAATGGAACTATCATTTCAGATTCTGGTAATTGTAAGTCATTATTATGGCTTTCCAACAGTGTATATCACTGACAACAGCACCAGAGAAAATGTCTTCTATGCTGTTAGTACACTATTGATCTAAATTCTTAAATACCTTTGAATAAACATGCTAAAAAGGAATTTTTAATATCCCAATTTTGGACAGTCACAGGCTGCAATGTATACATGGGGATGCTCAAATGGGAATAGGGAAAGTACATGTAATTGATACTGACAGTTGAATTCACTCTCAAGATCAAACTTTAGTGACTACAGGTACTTTTGTTCATGATGTCTCAAGAAGTGTTTACTTTTAGAAGATGAAACATTTGTACACATCAAGGTCAAGGTTATTGACATGATCATTCCAACTCAGATTGTAATTGACGGAGTTGGTGGGTGAGGAATTTGTTTCTATTATTAGACTATTTGTACCAATATGGAGATCAGACCCTGGAATGTTAGTTTGGGGTCATTAGATTGGATTTGCAAATTGCGTAAGTGTTATACAGATAGCTTGTTATTTTCTGTCATAAACTTGTGTTAGGCATGTGATACATGTGATTTCACCTTAGGCAAGTGAGTTGGTCAAACTTGACTCTGTTCATCCAGCAGAAAATGGGTACCCGATGGGTTAAGTCATGTGACTATCAACCTTCTAGCGCCTCACAGGCAGCTTGGGTTATCCGGGGTAATGATGATCAGATTGTGTGTTAGCTCTTTGAACATGTGCCTTGTACATGGAAAAGGTGCATTATAAATTCATAATTATTATTATTATTAGGCATGGGTTTGTTGAAAGTGTATCATGTGAGTGGACACTGACATGAAGAAATGACATTAGATACTTGCCTGTGGTAGCACTGTAGAGTTACACACACAGACACAGACTCAGACACACACAAACATATACAGACACATTGCACACGCACACACGCATGCATACACATAAAAGAAAACAATGCCAAACATGATCACAAGACTAAATTTGATTTCCAGAAATTATGAATTCATTCTGACATTTGTATTTCAATTTCCAAGACATTTTCTCTTCTTTTCCCCCAAACTTAATAAGCATATAGTGTCGCTGGTTTCTATGTTCACACAAATCTGTTGTCTGATTTCCAGATGACCTTTGTGACAACCTAGATGTGGTGATACCTGCTACTATGTATGCTATATCCAACATCCAGAAGTCCACAAATTACACACAGAACCTGGACAAGTTCTACTTATATGTTGCCAATGAGAGCATTGCGACACAGTGCAAACAGAAGCATCGGGAGATACTGGATGACAAGAAGAGCAGACAGCGTTCTCAAAGCAGACGCCAAAGTAGGTTGGGTTGTCTTTCCGTTGCCCTGTAGACTCTGTCGTCTATAATGCTCTAATCGTCTTGTACACACCTATACCTGTTGTCATGTACTTGTAGAATACTAAATGAGATCCTGTGTAATACAAAGCTTGAAATAGTTCATAGCTTCGGAATCTGCTGAGCAAAATCCTGCACTTTAGCTTTACATAGAAACTTCAACTTTATAATCATTGAATTTTTACTTTCTTCTATAACTAGGACCAATACTATAACTTTTTGAAAGCAGATTTGAATTGGAATTTCCATCATAAATTAGATCAATGTTATGAATATAGTATTTCACTGTCCATTTCATACCAGTAATATCAATATATGCATGTCAATACTGTCATTGTATTCATACCAGTACTGACCCATACATACTTGTACTATCATTGTACACTATCCAATACTGTCCTTGTATTGATACCAGTACTGACCCATACATATTTGTACTATCATTGTCATTGTATGCATACCAGTACTATTATTTTGTATTTCAGAATGTCACAAATGCAAGACAAATCCAGCATGTAAGATCATATACTTCAACCTAAAGTCTTGTCTAAACTTCACAAAACACACCTAAAGATAATTCTTGGGATGCCAAAGAAGAAATGAGAATGTTACTTCAGAGTTGATTAGCAGGCTTTAAACACTACCAGATAATGTATATTGTTTTCAATGTTGCCACGTACGAGTTTCATTACAATATGTCATTTACTTTTAATGAAAAGTTCAGAAGCCTTGAAAAGCTCACGAGAGGTAATAGAGAAAAACAATGTGTGAAGCCCATTTCTGGTGTCCCCCGCCATGATGTTGCTGGAATATTGCTAACAGCTGCGTAAAACCAAACTCAGTCAGTAATAGAGAAAACTGTGATTTGTTTTGGCTGCACGATTATGTTACTACGTTCATACCAGTAGTAGTACTACACAAAAGAATTACAGGACACCTGATGTTATAACATGACTTTGATCTGTCATAAAACATTCATGATGATTATGAAAAAATCAGTGTTCCTCAGCTCCTTTTGAGAGCTACATTTAGAACACATTGACAGTTTTATTTTCTAAATGTTCACATATATCGTCAACAAACAGTAGTGTTGTCCCAACTACAATATGTCAATCAAAGTTTGGTTCCTTAGCTAGATCAAACATAAATACAAATTGTTGTTTAGAAGGTAGTTTAACTTCATTCTTTTCACAAATACCCATGAGAGTCTCATTTGCAGTGTAATGTGCTAGCAATCCTCTCACTAAAACAAATGAAGGATGAACACAGAATGTTATTGTGATTATATGTGTCCTGTTTTCTTCAGCGAAATTGCAGCCTCTGCCTCTGTCTGGTTCATGCAAGGATGAGTGTGCTGTGTTTTGTATCCAGTGCTTGCAGGAGGGACGACACAATCAGCTTGACTGCCCCAACCACGGCCCATGCTTCTCTCCTATAGGTGAGATGTAACAATGGCATTTGACCACTTTCTAAATGGCATTTGTGTATTCCTAGCGTATTGTCATTCATCTTTTATGAATATATATTTCAGTGTTAACTCTTGACCTTGAACTGGTCAGTACTGTGAGTTCTTAATGTCAGGGGCATTGGGGTAGCCTAGTGGTTAAAGCGTCCACTTGTCACGCTGAAGACCCGGGTTCGATTCCCCACATGGGTACAATGTATGAAGCCTGTGTCTGGTGTCCCCCGCCATGGTGGATATAGCAAACTGATGGATATAGCAACTGATAGATATACCAGACTGATGGATATACCAGACTGATGGATATACCAGACTGATGGATATACCAAACTGATGGATATACCAAACTGATGGTTATAGCAAACTGATGGATATACCAAACTGATGGATATACCAGACTGATGGATATACCAGACTGATGGATATAAAAACTGATGGATATACCAAACTGATGGATATAGCAGACTGATGGATATACCAAACTGATGGATATAGCAAACTGATGGATATAGCAAACTGATGGATATAGCAAACTGATGGTTATAGCAAACTGATGGTTATAGCAAACTGATGGATATAGCAAACTGATGGATATAGCAAACTGATGGATATAACAGACTGATGGATATACCAAACTGATAGATATAGCAAACTGATGGATATAACAGACTGATGGATATACCAAACTGATGGTTATAGCAAACTGATGGATATACCAAACTGATGGATATAGCAAACTGATGGATATAGCAAACTGATGGATATAACAGACTGATGGATATACCAAACTGATAGATATAGCAAACTGATGGATATAACAGACTGATGGATATACCAAACTGATGGATATACCAAACTGATGGATATAGCAAACTGATGGATATAACAGACTGATGGATATACCAAACTGATAGATATAGCAAACTGATGGATATAACAGACTGATGGATATAGCAAACTGATGGTTATAGCAAACTGATGGATATACCAAACTGATGGATATAGCAAACTGATGGTTATAGCAAACTGATGGTTATAGCAAACTGATGGATATAGCAAACTGATGGATATAACAGACTGATGGATATACCAAACTGATGGATATACCAAACTGATGGTTATAGCAAACTGATGGTTATAGCAAACTGATGGATATACCAAACTGATGGATATACCAAACTGATGGATATAGCAAACTGATGGTTATAGCAAACTGATGGATATACCAAACTGATGGATATAGCAAATTGATGGTTATAGCAAACTGATGGTTATAGCAAACTGATGGATATAGCAAACTGATGGATATACCAGACTGAAGGATATACCAGACTGATCGATATACCAGACTGATGGATATACCAAACTGATGGATATACCAAACTGATGGATATAGCAAACTGATGGTTATAGCAAACTGATGGATATACCAGACTGATGGATATACCAGACTGATGGATATACCAGACTGATGGATATACCAAACTGATGGATATACCAAACTGATGGATATAACAGACTGTTGGATATACCAAACTGATCGATATAAAAAGTTGGTTTTGATGTTAGGCACTGTCACTAGCATTTGGTTTTGTGGATCTCAGTGAGCTGCGTGAGGGCTGATACAGGGGCAGTAACTCCTTGCGAGGTAGTCAGGGGCCATTCCGTTGAGACACTTATAACGTCCATTACAATAGTTTTGTAGTCAATTCTTCCGGTGATTGGTAGCCAGTGTAAATCATTTAGAATTGGAGTAATGTGATCGAAGACTTTAGACTTTGTAATGATTCTTGCAGCAGTGTTTTGGAGGGCTTGAAGGCGTAGTTCAGCTGATCTTTGTTGACGCTTGGTGAGGAGGCTGTTGCAGTAATCTACCTCGACATGACCAGAGATAGGACAAGTTTTGAAGTAGCATCAGCACTCAGATAGTTGCGAGTCTTCAAATGTTCCTGAGATGCATATGGGCCGTGCTAATGATGTTGGAGATCTGCTTGTCCATTTTCAGACTTTCATCGAGAATAACCCCTAGATTCTTGACCTTCGGGTTGGAGTTATGGCAGTATTCCTATTTGGAGAGATGGCTTTGTCAAGTTTGGAAAGTGTTGTTTTCGAATTCAATAAGCAGGAATTTGTTTTACTTTCATTAAGTTTCAGTAGGTTTTAGTCATCCATGTCTGAATGTCATTGCAGGAATCAGAAAGGGTGTCCAACCCATGGCAGGGCTTCTGTGGTAGGAATGAAGAATAGATTTGATTGTCATCTGCATATTGATGTTGGTTGACTTTGTGCTTGTCTGCTATTCTTCCCAGTGGTGTAGTGTACACAGAGAACAGCACTGGTCCTAGCACGGAACCTTGTGGGACGCCACTCCTGAGATCTGTGGGACATGATATTTTGCTCTCAATCTTAACCACTTGAGATCGATCTGATAGGTAAGATTGGAACCATGAAAGAGCAGTACTGACTTTCAGGTCACTTTCCATTCTTGACAACAACATGTGATGGTCAATAGTGTCGAAAGGCTGCCGAAAGATCTAGAAGAACCAGTGCTGATACATTTCCTTTGTCTGCTTCTGTTAGAATGTCATTGGTGACTTTTATGAGTGCTGTTTCAGTGGAATGGTTTGGTCGATATGCAGATTGATGTTTGTCAAAGCAGCTTGTGTTTCTTCAGATGTTCAGAGATCGGTTACAAACAGCCTTCTCTAACACCTTCGGTGACTAACGGAAGATTAGATACAGGTCTGTAGTTGTTCAGAGTATTATTGTCCAGGTTACTTTTTCTTCAGAAGGGTCTCACCCAAGAGCTTTGTTTAAAAGTTTTAGGAACTTCGCCTGATGATATTGAGAGATTGATGATGTTGGTTATTGGAAGTACTAAAACCTCCAGGCATGATTTCACAAATTGAGTTGGTATAGGATCGAGCTCTACAACTCTTGTCTGGCAGAAGCTTAATGATCTTTTCGATTTCATCGGGTTGAGAAAGGTTGTATTTCATCAAAATAGCCGAGGTAGCTGAAGTTGACTCGTCACACTGGTCACCTGGAGTGGATGTGTGTTGTAGCATCTAGCGTTGAAGCCGACTGATGGATATAAAAACTGATGGATATAACATAATGATGGATATACCAAACTGACCGACATAACAAACTGATGGATATAACAAACTGATGGATATAACAGACTGGATGGATATACCAAACTGATGGATATACCAAACTGATGGATATAACAGACTGTTGGATATACCCAAACTGATCGATATACCAGACTGATGGATATAAAACTGATGGATATAACATACAATGATGGATATACCAAACTGACCGATATAACAAACTGATGGATATAACAAACTGATGGATATAACAGACTGATGGATATAACAAACTGGGTTATTTTGTTGTGGCCTCCAGCTATATATTATAGTCAAAATGTGTACCGTATATGACCGCCTATAAGATCGAATCTCCCATGGATAAGCCGACCCCAAACTCTGACCCTCAAAATCAGTGTCAAAATCATATCTCTCATGGATAGGGCCGCCCCTCGCGATGGCCAACAGAGACCAGAGTACCCGTACCGGTAAAAGTATGTTCCATCAATTTAGACACCATTATGAGAATATTACATAATAAAAAGATTACTGGTGTTTACCTTTTTTTTTAACGATCAGCGTAAGTGTTGGTGAGAATATTACATAATAAAGATTACCCGTGTATTGTGGCAACATGTGTTTGTGTTCCTTTTTATATCCCGACGATCATTGCTTGCATCAACAACGATGCCATTTTGTGAAATCGGTGAGTATGGAAATGTGAACCCAAGAGAAAAAGTACCATCGGTAAATAAAAAACTGAAGTCAACTTTTGTTTCAAATGTATTATTTAAGTGTCCATATTTCATCTATATATATATGACAATAAGAAAAATAGTCCACTAACAATAAACACTGACATTTCTGCAAGAGAGTTCTGAGGATTTTCACAAGTCATCGGTCAGTAAATCCATCAAATTATTCAGTGTCACTGTCCTCGCCAGCCAGTTCCGAAATTCACGCCGAATTAACTGGGTTGTATCATCATAGTAATCATCCAGATTGTCACAAATAAGCACATCTTCTTCTTCTTTTTCGGGCTTTGAGGCCAGAAATTCCTTGAACAAAGCATCGTCCCCTCGATCCGTCCATCGCATTTGAAATGCCACACCCCTCAAGAACGAATTCTTTAATCATGATGGTGGGAATTTAAGTTCCACGAATCCCTGACCCATCTTGCTAATTAGGTGGAGTGGAGCCTACAGGACTGCTATTTTTGGTCCTTAAAATTAGAGCCTATAGGCGGTCATATACGGTATAATCCATTACAGTCTCGAAACAAACTAAAATTAGCTGTACCTTTGAGTTTGTTATTACGTAGTTATTACTGTAATTTATGAAATTTTTACAGGTCACCAGAATACATTTGCATTACTTGTCGCTGGGTACTACGCAACAAGAGAAAATGTGGCCAAACTGTTTTGTTGCTGATGTCTTGGGGACATGGAGAAGACATTATTGAATCTAAACTGTGATTGGCATCAGGTGAGAGGACTGTTTTTATCATGCATCAGTGATACCGATAGATTAAACATGTGATGTATATATTAGGCGACATAACAAATAGTCACTTGTTTCTGTGACTAGGATGACTTTTCAAGAAATAGAATTTCTAACCAAGTGTGTTTCTGTATCATAAATATACAGTAGTAATAAAAATTGTTTCAATATATATTATATGGTAGACAATGATAATAATCTATTACATGTATAATGTCATTCTTATAAAAGAGGTGTTTAAGACTTTTAGGCTCAAAGATATAGCTTTGTAGAGAGCATGTATGTACAATGTTTGAGTGAACTTCCTCTCATATATTATATCGTGCCAAATGCCTTGCAGCTATGTTTGTTGCCATGTTTTGCAACAAACTGGGAAACCTAATATCTAAACATGTCATGAACATTAGGCTTTAATTGAGCAACTTGGCATCCCACTATGTGTGTGCAGCTTGAAAGGTTTTCCTGCTAGGTGACCTCACTTGCATATCTGTTGGATCATGATACCAAATTTATCTTCAGATCAATAACATAAGCCTTTATATGATTTCTTGGTTTATGGCACTTATGATACCTAAATAATGAAATATTTCTCCCAACTACCAACTCTGTAAAAGGATATACATGGTGGTAAGAATACTTCATTAAGAGTGTCTCCTTTAGTTTCGATCACCCCAGAATGCCTTGTTTGCTCTGGGACATAAGGTTCTTCAAGTTGTAGTTACTTTGTGATAGGACAACAATTGATTGTCGCTCAGTGTTTGATATGAAGGTATGTATGGTTAGAATGAGTAGGATATTACGCTAACTATGTGTTCATATTCTTCTTTCAAAATTTATATTCTGGCCTCATATTCCAGAACATTTCAGGTAAGGAGGAAAGAGTATGATTTTACCACTTTTAGCAATATTTGTGCAATATCATGACTGGGGACACCAGAAATGGGCTTCACACAATGTACCCATAATTGGAATCGAACCCAGGTGTGCCGGTGATCGCTTTAACCACTGTGCTACCCTAACACCCCTACTGTGTAAGAAGTTCCACGCTGGATTCACACATTCCTCTAACAACAAAACACCTACTTGTTAAGAGATTCAATGAGTGTAAGTGGACCACTTGGTCGGAGGCACAATGAGTGAACGCTTTTAACCACTAGGCCACCCCATCGCCTTCAGGTAAGGAACCATTCTTCATAGCTATATGTTTTCCTTATTCCTTGGACTGTCACTCCAGTCTGAACAACAAATTGTCAAAGTCTACCTGGGCTAAAAGAGCTTTATAGGGATGTCTGAGTGCTAATATTGTCTTGTCTGTCCATAGGAAAGAGAACATCCAAGTCATTACAGACAGAAACTCCTGCAAAAAGGATGACATGAAAAACAAAACTCATGGATGCTTTCAAATATTTCCGAGAAAGGTTACGGAAAGACAAGGACCATGCAAGGTTCTATTTCTACTATTCTGGACATAACACAGACACAAAAGTTAAGATGGGAGACAGAACAAATGACATTACTCCTAAGGAATTGAAAGAGGAGCTGAAAAGTTACATGTTGAAAGCATAATCATCATCCTTGACTGTTGCTACAGTGCAGGAGTTGACGGATTCCAGACGACCGCACGGGAGGACTTCATGTCACTAGGCAGCTGCCCAAGGATGATTCTGAGCCACTCTCATACATCCCCAGGTTATGGAATCTAGAGAGCAGCTGATGACTGCGGGACAAGGGAGATGAGAGAAAGGTATACCAGTGGTCGCCTTCCAAATGCAAAGAAAAATCATCATACAACAGAGAGAAGGGTGGTAGTTTGTTTACGCTTGTCGATTGTGAAGGCAATGATGGGTTTGTGTCCTCTTGAGGAGGATGCTTGTCAACAATGTAAGGAGTTTGAATTGGAGGTCAGGAATCAACATGGAGTTTTTCTGGATGCAATCAGAGCAACTGTATGTTACCATGTTAAGAAACTGGCCAGCAACATAGACACAAGATTCAGAACCCAATGCTGGACAGCAATAATGATGATGATATCCTCTTGTCATTTCACACATTCCTTAGTGAAAGACATTATGATTAACACTGACAGAGGATGATCCTGGAAACTTTGTTGTTTAGCTGCCACTGGCCAACATTCCTTGAAGTCTTGTTTAGAATCTAGAAACACAACCAGTGCCTGATATTATGAGCAATGCCGCGTAATCAGCCAGGTCACTAAGTTTGATGGCCGCTGCCATATACTTGGAATATTGCTGAGTGCAACATATAAACCAACAAACCAACAAACTTTGGCCCTGATTCAAGTTTACACACAAAAGATACACTACTGACCAAAGGGAACTTTTGAAATGATAGTGAAGGTAAAATGACCAAATAAAGGTCATAAAATTAATTTCGGGGTGGGGTGGGGTGGAATTTCCTCTCTAGATGCAAGGGGTCCTAGTATAAGTTATGATCATTATAGAAGGAAATGGTATGACTGTAGGTGACACTCCATATGATTGGGATTTCCACTGTTCGACCGTTCAAGATGTCTGAGTATAAGTTATGATCAATACAGTAGGAAATGGTATGACTGTAGGTGACCTCCATATGATTGGGATTTCCACTGTTCCGGTTCAAGAGGTCCGAGTAAAAGTTATGATCAATATAGAAGGAAATGGTATAGACCGTGACGTGACCTCCATATGATTGGGATTTCCACCGTTCCGTTCAAGAGGTCCGAGTATAAGTTATGATCAATATAGAAGGAAATGGTATGACTGTAGGTGACCTCCAGATGACTGGGATTTCCACTGTTCAGGTTCAAGAGGTCAAGGAAATGGTAGGACCAGAAGGTGACCTCAAGACAACCGCACTTTGACCTGGATCAGGTTACCATGTTTGACTGTAGAAATGTTTAAAAAATGTAACACAGGTTTTCATATTCATAAAGATCTTAATGATGATAACATAACATTTAAAAGCTTACGCTCCTACTAGTTTCACCGTGAACAGAAAGAAATACTCCTACAGATAATTCTAGAAATGATATGATTTACAGGGTCCGCTTGTCAAGGTAATATGAAAGTTTTACTTTTCAGATGAGCTTATCAAAATGAAGGTCAAGTTTACTGCCCGAGCTTATGAATCAGTTTGGTACACTTTGTACAGTCTTATATATACATCTAGTGGCATCATATTATTGTTCTTACAGGGCACTCCATTTGATCAAATGAATAACCTGGTAGAGTGAGTGAGTTTAGTTTACGCCAAGACACAGCAATATTCCAGCTATATATGCTGCTGTTGGTGGAGAGGGATTATGAACAGAATGAGCAGAATAGTATTAGGGTTTAGAAATTACTGTGATAAAAGGCTTGTGAGTCACCTTTAAAACAGCTAAGTTAAAACACTCTAATGAGTCTAAAATATTCAATTATATACTGAATAAAAGATAAACAAGGTTACAATGAATGACAGTGCACATTTCTAATGCAATCTGATTGGGTCACAAATCTAAAATATTAACTTAATGTCAATAGTGACCAAAGTTTTGATCCTTGTAGATATACTGATTGAAGTTTGTTGACAGCTGTTGAAAGTTCAATATAGACCAGGCCTCTTGGAGTGGTCAGTCTTCAAACCTTGATGTTACCAGACAGATGAGCATAAATCCAAAGTTGTTCCCCTTATGCATATCAGGGTACACCTGCAGAATACCGGATACCTACTTCAGCCATATTGTTTAGTGTCACATCACCCTATCCCTAAGGCTAACCCTAAACCTTTACCTAACCCTAACTAAAACTAAACTCAAGGAAGCTTTCAAAGATGGCGAGGAAGGTATCCGTATTCTGTAATCTTACCCATATCAGCAACCATTCCTTATATACCCTATTATACAGTTCTAGAGAATGCTATCACAATTGTATAACTCAACTCTAATCACAATCAATCTACTCTGTACATCAACCTCCCTCTGCTGAAACGTTTCTTATCAAATATCCAATGTACATCAACCTTGTTAATTGTATATACTCACTATGCAGCAATGTATATATCCTCCTTGTTTCCAATTGTTGTATCACTTGTTTTGATAACGGTGTTAGTACCTACACCTGAAACGTCGCTACTTATTGCAAAAAGAAGTTGACCTATCCATAGAACTTAGTTTTCCATCATTCTCACAACTTCTAAAAATGCCTCTCAAAGAACTCAAACAAAGGGAGGTAACTCCTCAGCTTACTCTTAACAGGTGAAATTACATAAGCTTAAGTTCAAGATGCTTTAACTTTAGTGACCCATAACAACTGAAAGTTAATCAATGTGGGCATTATGATTAACAAAACATCATCATCAATAACAATAGTGAGAATCTGAAACAAGAGATGTCTTTGATATGTTTCACTGGATCAAACCAGCAATGTTCATATTTGTAAACTAAGCCCAGAACACCACTGGGTTACCAGAGACAGTGATCAACTTTCACCAAACATTTCAAGTACATGTGCAATAGAAAGAGATATTTTACCTTTGTTTCCCAAAGATTCATGGAAAGTGTTGCAACAATAATTGCTGGTAAACATGTTAAGTAAATGTGGTTTTAGATTTTCTTTGAGCTTTTATGCAAGATGAAATGCCCTCAGTTATTTTTTTGTGTGATTTAAAACCATGGGTTATGATGGATTTCAATATATAGAAAGTGTTTGTTCGATCCACTTATGGATAACTGCTGATGAAACAATTTCTGATTGAAATCACTTAAGAAATTACATTGTATTTATTTTAGAAATCACAATGATTTAATCCATGGATGGATATTTATAATGATATTGCTTTGATAAATTAAGGAATCAAATTCCTTTTCATATTTTCTAACATGAATTTGGATTCATCACTATTAATATTGTGAAATAAAATTTCGAGAAACCATTTTTGTTGTAGTGTGGCAG